CAGGGATTAGGTGAGGGGGGAAAAAAGGGGGGGGGGGGGTGAAAGCCTCATAATGTAAGCGTCCACAGCCAGTGCAGTCGCCACAGACTGTGCAGCTTAGGATTTTACTTTTTACACAACCACTCTCCATTACTTAGCGAGGACGGAAACGGGGTCTCTCACGCCAGCGCCTAAACCACTTACAGAAATTAAACGATCCTACGGGGAGGTAGTCCTCTTTATTTCTATAGAAATAGTTTTTACCTGGTTACCACCCCTAGTTTCTATAGAAATTGTAGTAGTTGTAGTTGTAGATTTTTACGCCATAAGGACCCCTAAGGACATCACACAGGCGATAAACACAAGATGACACAAAGATCCACATTGCGGATGAGGATCATCGTGTAGAGGTTCCAGAAACCGCGTTCAGCCATTAGACCATATTTATGGTCGGGCTATATTGCGGCCCCTGGCAAGAGCCAAAGTAGAGCTTCAAATGACTAAATATTGCATCTCACAAGGAGATGACTGGATTATCATATAGAAAAAGTTTTTACTTGGTAAACAATCTGCATTTTTGTTTATGATTAAACAGAGGTTTCTGTATACATTTCATCGCCTTCTTTTTATCTATTTCCGTATTGCCTTTTAGCGTCAAGTTTTGAAAAGGAATCGGGTAGACAGCCTTTGTATCTACTCGTATTTACGGTCTTTTTTTTTTTCAACCCGTACTTTTCGGTTGAAAAGACGAAAGTCATGGATGGCACCGTCTGAGGATACTATTGGAGCATCGGTCTCAGTCGAGCAAATACACGGGCAGGAATGGGTTAACACGAACCCTAACAACAACAGTAGTTTCCATCAGGGTCACTATTACATAAGGAAAAATGTTACGATCTGGCAGAATCAGAGGTACAACAACTGACAGACGAAAACGCTGGACCAGATGATGCAGTAAGTAGTGTACACCGATGGTGACTTGAAGTCAGTGACACGAATGGATGGACACGTCAAACAATGGAATGGAATGAGCCTATATGAGTGTGCCATTAAGTAACGGTGGCCAGTGTGTTTGTCCTACATTAAATACTATCGAACAATGCTAACATAATGGAAAGACAATTCAGCTGATAAAAGAAATAACCTAAGGTAAGATCAAGGGTTTTTTTATGGTACGCAGTACTGACACCTTTTTAAGGCATCCCTTTTAAGTCCTTCTCGTGTGTGTTTTTTGTTTTTGTTTACAAGCTGTTTGCCTGTTCTTTTCCATCCTGTTTCAAAGTATCCCTTAAATTCTCAACACGAGCTTTATTTCCTGAACAAAAAAATGCTGTTCTCCCCACAAGATGTCTTATAAAATGTGCCCCTACGCCATTAACATTTACTGCTGCATGTATCATCAGCCTCCATTCATTCCTTGTGATTGGTCCTCTCTTCAAGTGTTCATAGGTCTGCGTCTGCATGGCTGTTATCTCTCCAATCTATTTGGCCTGTCTCATGGTATAATTTTATTCTTCTTACTTGCGCATAAAGTTTTGTCTCTATTTTATGTCATTCTCTTTCTATATGCCCTGGCCATTGTAGACTATTAGACCTAATTAATGGTTATTAAAACAGTTTATGAATGTTATTGTTGCTTCAAAACAAAATATGTAATTCTGAATTATTATAATTTCAAAACATGTTTAACATATTTTTTAATTCTGTTATTTTAACACTTGCCAGTTATTGTTCTCCTTCTTCACATTTACTGCCTGTAAACTTGGAAAAGTTGTGGTTGTTCATCCACTTCTGGATTGAAGCCTTGTTCCAGAACTTGTTCTGCATGCACATCCAGGATTGATTTGTATGCGACTGGTGGCTCCTCCCCCGGCAGGAAGATGCACTCTGACTTCAAACGATACACCCCTAATGAGCCAAATATCAGAAAATGCTTGTCAGGGGCCAGTGGGTGAAAACTGGAGAACCATGAAAGACATGGAAAGAAAGTTAAACGCATTGGGAAAACAAAAGCTTAAGGAAATTGAAGAACATTAAATAGAGTGAATTATTAGAAGAGACACAAGAGAAATGGGTGGAAAACCGTTTGAATCAGTTACAGGAAAGAGAAGATGGTAATATCCTGAGGACATAAAAAGAAGTGAAGAAAGAATCACTAATACATGGACATCACTGAAATGGGAAATAAATGGACTGAGGAAATAAAGTCCAAAAGAAACCCTAAAATGAATGTTGATGAGAGAGGCCAAAGGTGCTTGAGTGAATTCTATCTGATATTGAAAAGATTTTACAGGACTAGACTGCAAGCTCTTTCTTCTGTTTCAAATTCTCTAGTCCTGTATTGTGTTTTTAGCTTCAGGTTTTGAAGAGGAATCGGGTGTTAGCCTTTGTATGTGCTATGTAGGTGCTCATATTTACGGCCCTGGATTTTGTCATCTATCCATCGTTTGGGTGGTCACCCTCTGAATCTGCTTCCTGTTGTCTAAGTTACAGAATGACAGGAGTTCTCTGTGGGGCACTATCTGGTGGTAGTCTTGATACATGTCCAGAACATTCGATCTGTTATCTCTTGATGTAGTTTAATACTGGTTTGGTATCGTCATTTCTAATCCTGTCTCTTCTAGATCAATTTAGAATTCACTCAAGATATTTCATTTGTCTTTTGTTATTAATGTCCATGTTTAGCACTGATAATACAATGCTGGTAAAAATATGAAAGCTATATGTTCAAGTCTTTTCAGCTAAGTGTATTCAGGGGCCAAAATATAGAAAATGGGGACTGTCCGGGCCAAAGGTCCAAGCTCTAGCACAAAATAACAATAACTAACACAACAGAGTTGGCTATGAGGGCCACTTGCTAGGTCTCTGCAGGCCAGATTCAACCTGTGGCCCACAAGTTCAATACCCTGTTCTATGTGATTCTCAGCACAGCATGATGATAGTGATGATGATGAGACCAACAGCCGGAGGTAAATAAAAGACAGGAAGGCTTGAAATGAGCTTACTGAGGGCCCATGCTCCAACTTGTCGGTAAATGACAGGAGTAGACAGAGGAAGAACACTACTCTAGGAACTGTACTGTAAAATCTTCATGGATTCCAGTCATCTTGACTTCAAATTAAATTACAAAGACAATAGAAAATTAACAGGAAACGATAATGGTTAAAAACAAATTTTAATCAACTGTAAAAGTATGCATTATGTGTACATTATTTACAATGTTGGTGAGGTTTCTTAGTAATAAAGCCTCCCCAATTTAAGAGGATCTTTTTGATATTTTGTTATCTTTGTTTTGTGTGTGTGTTTACCTTGGCATGAGAAGCTCCCATACATTGTGAAAGTTTGTTGTCCTGAGTGTTGTTAATTTACTGACCAGATTCAGTCAAAGATACAGCTGAACCAGATGTGTCAATGCAATGGCTGGTTTTACCAATGTCTGTCAATAAGATGGCTGGACTAGATTATATCAAAGAAATGGCTAGATGACCAGGTTCTGTCAATGTGATGTCTGGACCGGATTATGTGAATGAGATGGCTAGTTGTACCAGATTCTGTCAATGTGATGTCTGGACCAGATTTTGTCAATGAGATGGCTGGTTGTACCAGATTCTGTCAATGAGATGGCTGGTTGTACCAGATTCTGTCAATGAGATGGCTGGTTGTACCAGATTCTGTCAATGTGATGTCTGGACCAGATTTTGTCAATGTTATGTCTGGACCATGCGTCAATGTGATGTCTGGACCAGATTTTGTCAATGTGATGTCTGGACCAGATTCTGTCAATGTGATGTCTGGACCAGATTTTGTCAATGAGATGGCTGGTTGTACCAGATTCTGTCAATGTGATGTTTGGACCAGATTTTGTCAATGTGATGTCTGGACCAGATTTTGTCAATGAGATGGCTGGTTGTACAAGATTCTGTCAATGTGATGTCTGGACCAGATTCTGTCAATGTGATGTCTGGACCAAATTTTGTCAATGAGATGGCTGCTTGTACCAGATTCCGTCAGTGTGATATCTGGACCAGATTCTGTCAATGTGATGTCTGGACCAGATTCTTTCAATGTGATGGCTGGGTCAAATTCTGACAGTAAGCTGGCTTGATCAAATCTGACCATTAGATGGCTGGATCAAATTCTGACAATGTGTTGGCTGGATCAAATTCTGACAATGAGTTGGTTGGACAATTACATTTGAGCAATTGGATTACCATTATTTGCTTCATTCATGTAATTGTTATGTTAGTATGCACCTGACGAGATACAGCGAAATATGCCAGGCAATAAATTGTGCAATCTATTGTTTGTGTCTTCTTTGCTCAATTTACAACGGGGAAACATTGCTTAGAAAACTATTAATTATCTGGAAACTATGAATTATTAGCTAACTGTGTAAATTCACTATCTGTGTAATTTCTGTTACTTCAGATAATTTACAAACTTTTGTTAGATAACAAGATTTCCCTGGCTGAATAATATTAATTGCTAATTTACACTATCAATTAATTAGCTGGGTGTCGAATGGTATTTTTGTAATTTAGCTGCATGTTGTTCATCAACAGGGCGTTTGACTGTTTGTAATTAGTTTATAAATATTCTGACAGAATAGTGTTTGTTACTCGACCAATTCACTGGCTGGGCTATTAACACTTCAATGATTGATATAGGCAATATTCTGGCCAAATGCTGCTTCTCGACTGGCATGGAACCATCAACTTGCAGACATACTGTCACTTCGCTTATAGAACAGACCCACACTAACTGAATCTATTTCGATTATGAGTGGTCTCCGTCTGTGATGATTGAAAAACAGCCGGACAGTGGTAGTGAGTTCGCTTTGTGAGCACTGTTAGTCTGAGAATACCTGATGCACTGTGGATTCACGGACTATTTCCTGGACACAGATGACTGTGATGTGAAAGCGCAAGCCGTCAATCTGTTCAAGGATGGGAATCCATGATTCGACTCATAAAACATCTGTGCTTTATCGTGAGAGGTTATGTTCCAGATTTTAAAATGGCTCAACCCAAAGTATTGTCCTCACTTATGTTTCTCAAGTCTTTGAAATAAAGATTTGCACCCACCAATGTCCCATCTGGCATCTTGCCTCCAAGTGGGAAATGACCAACTCGCTGAAACCCAGGACATCGCTCAATAATCTTCATCATTGCATGATTATTGCTGAATGTGTCTGTGTAAATACCTGTAAAGCCCAACCGTTTTGAAAACAGGACCACTTGTCTAAAAATAAAGTCTCCAATTCCTTTACCTCGCTCTGACTTTTTAACAATAATAATTGGGTCAACAAGTTTATTTTCTGTGCCTCTGTAGAATTTACTGTCAATCAACGAGAATGCACCTATCATTTTCCCGCACTCTTTACCACATAAAACAAAGCTCGGATAACCATCAACTTCTTTCCGGAAGTCTTTTTCTGTTGGGTATTCGTCGACACCGAATCCGTGTCCGTTGACTGCCGCAGCGACAATGAGGCTGTACATGTCAGAGATCTGACCGTCGGTGATGGTATCAATGGTGATGTGTCTGCCGTCAGGCAAGGTAGCATGCATTGGCAGATGCATCATATCCCGGTCAACTTTCCAGCTGTCGCGGTTGCTGTTATGCTCAATTAACATGGTGTGCTGTGTAGCGTTAACTTGATATGCTGTGAACCTTGGGAAGGAGTCAGAATCCAGTCTTCTGTAGCAGATCTGGTATCTCGGTGTATGTTAAGAGTCAACAGATCTGATATCTTGGTGGATGTTAGAGTCAATAAACAGATTTGGTATCTTGTTGTATGTCACGAGTCAAGAGATATGAAACGTTGCTTTGCCTGAACGTCAAGAAATGATCATGAAAATCTGCAAGTATACAAATGAATAAACACAAGGTGAGCACATTCAGGATGTCTGTCAGGAAAATGGTTTGCAGTATCAAATTAATGATAACATTTAATTATACAGGTGACTGCCTACAAACTGCTTGTGGTGAAAGCTGAGGTATGTGGGCCATTTTAAACAACATGGTAGCCTGTAGAGAAAGGTAATGGAGGGTATAGTTTCCAGAGAACAAAGCAGAGGCAGACCTATGTAAATGTGGATACAAAACAATGAGGATGCATTGGGTATTTAAGAATAGACTGGAGAACTGGCAGTTCACTGAGGGAAAGAAAACAAAATACTCGACCACATTTAACTAGCTACCCCTAAAGTGGAGCTTTTGGTTATATTGTGGTCTGTGTTTATTTGTGCCATACTCATGGCTTACAATTACTCTCACAAAGTAGCCCTGAAAAAGACTTAAAGTATTGATGCGATGATCAGAGCCAAGCTCCTTCCTGACCAGGGACTCAGTCGCCCACTGACGGACCAATAAATTACTTACTGATGCAACTATAACAGGGTCAAAAATGGTGTTTATAGCAAAAGTGGCAATACTGGTATGTGAAACAAAAGCAAATTAGGTAGAAGAAGTGATTTTATTTTAATTTCATCAATATTTTTTTAAAATCATTGTTTTCTTCGCAGTTTTGATTGCATCTCACCGAGGGACAAAGAACAACATCATCAGCATCATGTGCCGTGCTGGTAAGCATAGGCTGACATATTTCGCCCTCACACGATCCACAGAATCAAGGATCCGCTCAATGTTTTTATCTTGCTCCCTCCATCTGGCCAGGCCATCCAGGTTTTTATCTCTTTGGCTTCATCTTGCTCTCTTTCCATTAATCTTGCTGGTTCTTAACAAGTTCTCAAGTCTATTCCTTCTCACAATATGTCATACAAATATTCAGAGTCTACACTTCATTGTTCTAATAAGTATACACATTGTATCTGTCGTGGAGAGGACTGATTTGTTTGTTTGTTTTTTCCATCCTTCCAGGATTTTCTTTGCATTCTTCTTAAAAATTATCTCTCTGGGGTCAGAAAATGTTTTCCAGTTAAGGAACAAGATATGGCACACTAACAAGCCAGTAAAACAGATGTATACCCAAAACTCAAGTCCTTGTACAAAGCCAAAGTATAAATGGATGTATACCCAAAACTCAAGTCCTTGTACAAAGCCAAAGTATAAATGGATGTATACCCAAAACTCAAGTCCTTGTACAAAGCCAAAGTATAAATGGATGTATACCCAAAACTCAAGTCTTTGTACAAAGCCAAAGTATAAATGGATGTATACCCAAAACTCAAGTCCTTGTACAAAGCCAAATTATAAATGGATGTATACCCAAAACTCAAGTCCTTGTACAAAGCCAAAGTATAAATGGATGTATACCCAAAACTCAAGTCCCTGTACAAAGCCAAAGTATAAATCGATGAATAACAAGGACTTTGCACTGGAGTGCAGAACTGGTGAACACACACAATCAAGCCAATGCCACAGTAACAAGAAGTGCAGCAGTTTTGTCGCCTCACCAGTAGTTAAAGTCTTACTGGTGTCCCTTTTCTTGAATGATTGTTTAACACACTTACAGACAGGGCTAAAGGAAGTAGCTGCGAAATGCAGTCTGTTATGATTATTCAACGACAAGCCTGTCTCTCTCCCCATATGCACATTCTGACGCAACTCGCTGTCCTCAAGTCACCAGGTTGTCGTAAACCCCCTCCGTTTCTGATGAGACCTCGAGTTCGCTTGCTAAGACAGCAGGCGAGTGCCGTTTGTGATGATAATACATAAGGGAAAGAACCGTATACCCCATGTATAAGATGCCCTATGGATCAGACGACCCCAATTTGTAAGCCCAAAATTAGAACATTCATAATGTATTTTAATCGCAATCTGCGTAAAAGAAAGCAGCCAATTTTTACCAAAACAAAACAAAAAGGTGAAAAACATATCCTTCTAATAGATGCGGTAATTAGCAGTTTTACAGTATAACTTTATATTTGGTGATTAGGAACAATTCATAGCTCGAAGTCGAAATAGGTCTCAAATGGATAAAGGGAGCGCAGTGGCCAGACGCTAGCCTTCCACTCCTAAGGTCTTAGCTTTGAATGTGCATCAAGTTGGATTTATTCTTAGGTCGACTCCGCTTAAAATGGGTACCAGAAAACATCATACAGAGTAAAGGCGGCAGGCGTGATGTATATCACGTAGTGAGTGTTGACATTAGCTAAAGCAAACAAAAACAAATTACAGGGAAACAAAGAAAGTAAATGAGAACAGGTATAATCAGAAAAAAACGAGGGGTATGGAAAGAGGAGGAAAACTCAATGAAAAATAAACTAATAATCAATCAAGAGTATCAGGACTATTTTCTAATTTCTCATACACTCCTCATTATTTAATTCCCACATTAAGTTGCTCTTTAGAAGTAGTAGTAGTAGGTGTAGTAGTAGTAGGTGTAGTAGTAGTAGGTGTAGTAGTAGTAGGTGTAGTAGTAGTAGGTGTAGTAGTAGTAGGTGTAGTAGTAGTAGGTGTAGTAGTAGTAGGTGTAGTAGTAGTAGGTGTAGTAGTAGTAGGTGTAGTAGTAGTAGGTGTAGTAGTAGTAGGTGTAGTAGTAGTAGGTGTAGTAGTAGTAGGTGTAGTAGTAGTAGGTGTAGTAGTAGTAGGTGTAGTAGTAGTAGGTGTAGTAGTAGTAGGTGTAGTAGTAGTAGGTGTAGTAGTAGTAGGTGTAGTAGTAGTAGGTGTAGTAGTAGTAGGTGTAGTAGTAGTAGTAGGTGTAGTAGTAGTAGGTGTAGTAGTAGTAGGGTGTAGTAGTAGTAGGTGTAGTAGTAGTAGGTGTAGTAGTAGTAGGTGTAGTAGTAGTAGGTGTAGTAGTAGTAGGTGTAGTAGTAGTAGGTGTAGTAGTAGTAGGTGTAGTAGTAGTAGGTGTAGTAGTAGTAGGTGTAGTAGTAGTAGGTGTAGTAGTAGTAGGTGTAGTAGTAGTAGTAGTGGCAGCAGCAGCAACAGGGGTGGCGGCAGCAGCAGTAGTATAGTAGTAGTTTAAGGCAATTAGTTGCGCTTTAAGACTATTTTCTTTAAGAATTGCCACGGAATTCTATAAAATATATTGTCCACACGAGGCGCGCTATCGCAGAGAAAATATTGTGACATTTTTTTGGGCCACGTCAAAAAAAAAAAAAAACCCCATACGGGAGAGGTCGATTAAAGGCACGAACTACAAACCGATACTAGTGGGAATTTGTCAAGAGAAAACGAACAGCAGTCTATCGTAGTGTACAGATATGCGAACTAGAAAAGAGACCGTAACAAATAATTTATTTAGCCAACCTTATCAGTATTGATATAAGGAAACATACACTCATAAAACGCTTTTGCATCTTTATAGATCTTACTAGCGCTTTAACTACTAATTATTAATTATTATACTAAGTCCGTGGTACTAATAAGTAAATAACTAATGTAATCATAAATACAACTGAATTGTACTAAAGAATGACAGTAGCAGTAGTAGCAGCAGCAAAAGAGGAATTACGGTTTAGAAACAATAATATTAGAAAATATTAAGACCCAACTTACATTAGCAACATACGTCCCAGACTTCCAAAATCAAGCACATACAGTAGCATGAGAATTCGGGTAATGAATGGGCCACTTGGCGCGACCGTAGTTATATAGCTGACCTACCCCTGTACAGTCACATAGGCCGTCCCATGTTATGTCGGTTATTTTCCCCGGGAGTCATAACTCGGTTTTCCACCAATCAATAACCCCAAACCAGGTCGCAGGTCAGAGTTCGCGGGTGAAAGAGGAAAAAAAAAAAGGGGGGGGGGGGATGGGGGCGTTGTCGGTTGCGACCTGGGGGATGTGTTTACAATGTGAAATGTCAATGGGACATTGTTTGTGGTTATGTAATTACAGGTAGATATGTTGTGTAGATTTAACAAAGATCTAACAGGAAGATATCAGCCAGGAGTATAACTGGAGGGAAGATAACCGTGGGGCGGGAAAGAGAATAGGAAGTTCCGTGACTTATTTTAACATTATTTGTGTGTTTGTTGTTTTTTATTTGGGGTGTTATTGGACAGACATGACTGTTTCGTATCCCCCCCCCCCCCCCAAGAAAGTTGAGTCATCACATTTGTGTGTGTGTGTGTAAATTATCAGAATGCAGCAATTGAAATGTATTGTAGACACTAGAAAAGAATTATTGAGTGAGAGATTATGAGATAAGATAAGATTTGTTCACAATCTTTCGCTATTGATGTCAGCACACGGACAGATGGAGACGGCAAGAAGTGGCCAAGCAAGATCGCCCATGCCTTTCGGTCATATGACGATGACTGGTTCGGTACATGTTTTTGATTATATCGTTTGTTGGGCTTATTGTAGAGTTTCCGTGGTGCTGTCGTGGAAACAGGGTACTACTTCACAGAATATAGATATATGGCTTATGGGATGAGAGGCTCGTGTCTGTTTTCTCCTTATTTAATTTAAATCATCGCGAGGTATGGTGTGCGCCTCCTGTGCTAGAGGTCCCAGGTTCAGGCCATGTTGAAGGCTGCGATTTTTTTTTACGTGGACTTCTAGTAATTTCCCCTAGTCTCTGGGTAGTGAGATTGGACGCCCGTGTGTATTGCAGCGCACGTAAAAAAATCCCTTGGCAGTTGGAAATCGAAAAAAGTAGCCTAACGGCGCTGCCCGGGCAAAATTTGAAGTTAAAAATCTACCCAAAATCTTTCAGGATCAT